AGGTTTCCATATGTTACGTATCTCTACGCTAGCTTGACTAAATGCGTTGTTGGACAACATATACGCGGCTTCTTTGAATTTTCTCCTAAACCAGTGTTCCTCTTTGTGGATGATTTCAGCTTGAGCCCACTTGATATTATCTTGATGAGTCCAAACATGCTCTGCTATTCCGAATTTGCTGGTTTCTCCTCGCTGTGTGTGTTTCTTGTATTCAGCAATGCGAACTTTCAATGGCCTCTTAGTTTTACCGATGTATGATTCTCCACACTCGCAGGGTATCCGGTAAATGCAATTCTTGGAATCGCAGTCCGCGTTTGGTGGCCTGGTTTTCGTGAGGCTGCTACGGATGAAGCTGGTCCTGATGTTATACTTGGACCCAATCTTTCGTATCATTTCCGATAATCCTCTGATGTAGGGAAGTTCTGGTTGAGGAGGCTTCTCTTCCTTGTGGAGCTCTTGCTGTCTTCTAGCTAAAGCCTATTCTAACATCACTCTGGAGTAACCATTCGGTTGAAGGTCGTCTTTGATGATGCCTAGTTCCCTTTCGAGACCTTCCTTTGTATTACAGAAGGCACGGTCTAGTAGAGTCTAGTAGTAGACTAGTAGTAGTAGACAGTTTTAGTTTGTCCAATTAAAAACTAGACATTGAACTGTAAAAACCTTAACAGCAGTGAAAAATAATTGCATAATGTTTGGACCAAGAGTTGTTCAGAAGTGCATCACAAAAAAGTGGTATTTTTGAAAGACCATTAAAATAGTATGCTGCAAATATGAAGATGTGAGTGATCAAAAGACCAGCCTTCTCGAAAAAATCATAACAGAACTAGTGGATGATTGTGAGATGAAAAACAAATACATTGAAAAGTTGATAAAAAGAAAAAATGATTATCTGCAACAAGCAGAGGATATAGAAACAGAGATGAATAACTTGCAAGAAAAACAAAATAAACTATCAAACTAATCAAATCAAATGAAATCAAATTTACTATTAATCTGAAGACCACAAGTGGTATAAGACATGTCAAAAATTTGGATTATAGAGACAAAAAGCAAAATTACAGAGTAAAATGTTAAATGGTAAAATGATGAGTACAAGTACAGACAGAGGAGGTACATTACAATTTAAATATCAAGATAAAATATGCAATTACACACAGAGTATGACAGAGTATACTATCAGTGATTTATGTACTAAAAAATTCTTCCAAAGTATAGAATGCACCCTCAATCAGTACTTTTTTCAGTGACTTGAATCTGAAATAGGTAGAGGTTCATCTTTGATGTTTTGGGGAATTTTATTGAAAATTGTATTAAAAATGGAAAATAAAATACAAGAATTGCAAAAACAAATAAATAAAAAAGTTCCATTATCAGATTCTAGTACCCAAACCAATAAGCAAATCCACTAAAGAACTTATTT